ATTCTGAAAGCCGGCATTCACATTGGGCGTATTTCGCGGAAGATTAGAGAAATGCAGAACTAATGCAACCAATTGCTGATTAGAATTTTTGTTGTACACTAACAATTTCTAACAGAAATGTTAAACGAATTTACGATTGGTTTTCGTAACCTATGCAACTCGAAAAGTACGCCTCATGGGGAACTGGTACTTTCTATCGCGTACATACAATACGCGTTTGTACAAATTTAGAAGAAGAAAGTCTGATTTATAATGGCCGTAACCGTTAACTTATGCCGGTGCCGGTAAAGTCCAACCATAGGATTTCAATGCTTTCGTTCATACTAATACGGCAAGTTAGTAATTTCGAAAGTAGAGATTTCAAGCTTTAAAATGTTTATTTTTTTGTCCACGATGATTTTTCACAGAGTTACGGTCATTTGAAGATTATGCAATTTTGAACGTGTTCCGAAAGTGTTCTCTATTTTTTGTTGAGTAGTGTATATTGTCTTTATTTATAAATGGCATGTAATAAAAATTAAGTGTCACTTCTTGCTTCTGATGCATGATTCAATGCTGTAGTGACTACTCAGGAACCTTAAATGCGTCTTATAATAAATGAACTTACTGTTAAGCATAATTTCTTGTAGAAATAACAATTAAGAAAGATTAAGATGTTTATAAAGACAATTAGTTATAATTTTTCGCCTTTTATTTAAAGACAGTGATAAAATTATGAGTTACAACAGTGTTGATGTTACCAACGCTTGTTGTTTACTTTTCAGTTAACTGCTTGGTAGGCGCAGCGGTTTTCGTAGTATCTTTGTCAACTTTAGCTTCCGAGGTCTTTTTCACGGTTGCCTTGTATTTAGCCAGTTGCTCTTTTCTTCTTTTCAAAAGCGCGATGGTCTTCGTCGTCGATGGTTTCTTTGACAATTTTATCTGCAATATCCGTAAATTTATCGATAAGTCAAAATTGTGAATACGAATTGTTTACTTCTTGCAATTCTCCTTTCATACTATTGCATAAATATAAAAACGTATAGGGTGAATGCACCGTTTGTGGCCACTGCACCTATTTTGGCCACCTTCGCTGTTTATTAGATTCTTCTAATTTTGCCTTTAGTGCGCAGCAATCACGACACATGTGCGTCGTAATTATTTCTCTTGTTTAATAATATGACCTAGTAGAGTAGGTACTAAAATAACCTCATGTATCCTTTTTCATATTATAAAAAAATTATTTTCTACAGAATGCACTCAAGACAGTCATCTTGTCAAAAACGATAAGAATTCCCGAAACGCGGTAAGTAGAATAATTTATCAATAACTACATATGACACAAGTATAGCAGACAATATTAGTAGTCAGCTTCATAACGATAGCAGGTATATAGGTGGCCAAAATTGGTATAAAATGGAATTTTTGCAACTATTTAATTTTTTCATTATACATTCGCTTTTTTCCTTAAAACTTTTTTGAATATTAAAAACTAATAGCGTTTTCTCTTGGCTGCACTATCTAGTGCCCACTAGTGCAACACTCAGACAGTGTACCGTGTTTCCATGGCTGGTGGTAAACTAACTCATTCAGTATACCGTGTTTCCGTGGCTACGGTGCAGTGCAAATTTTATGCACGAAATAGGATTTTGCTACACCGTCTCAAAGGGATGATGTAGAAGCAGTGTAACATTTAAAATTTGAAAATGAAAGTCAAACTGGAACAGGGTTTTTTAACGCAATACTGAAGGTTAGGTGTTTACCACTCTAGTGTAGTGTAGCTGAGTGTAACGCTTACACGCAACTGGTGCAATGCGAAGCTGCATCCAGTGTATCCCAAGGGAAAACGCTATAAGACATTAAACAATGTAAGTAAATAGAATCTCCTTTTTATGTATTATTTAAAAAAAACATTTCTTAAAGCTACATAAATGCTTAAGGTGGCCACAGATGGTGTATTCATCCTATAATAAATTAAAAACTACACAGTTAGTATAGTACGTACGCCTCGTTTTTCAGCGAGAAGTAAATCCTTTTCACGCTGACGTTTTTGTGCAGTCAGGATGGCAGCGCGTTTCAGAACTGCAGCATACGGGTTGAGACGCAGCATAGCCCGTGTGTTGGTCAATGGGTTCAGTTTCTTTACTCTACGCACCACCTTCTTCCTATAATTGTATTAAATAAAATATCAATCATTATCATATATCATGAATGGTAAGATAGAATGGGCTTCTCGAAATAGCACTCCAGTGCGCTATCAAATGAAAAAAAATATATTTACGAATTTAATTGATGAGATACGTATATAGATCTTTTTTTCTTTGCCTATAATTACCTAGGAGCTCTCAAGACTTTGCGAATTTCTTCAGACTTTAGAAGTCTGGATAGATCTGTGTTGGCCATTTTAGGGAATGGCAAATTATATCCTTTCTTAAGCTGTGATTCTTTACGCCAGGTTCCGTAAAGGGCATCCAACTGTTCAAAAGCGGACTTCGTCCAGATTACAAAGCGTCCAACGTGACCGCCAGGTGCCAACTTCAACAGATTCATCTTGTTGATGTTCATCAGAGAAACGCCAGGGATATTGCGAAATGCTTTATGGATACCCTAGAAATTATAATGTGATTTATATAGCAATTTTTTATAACTCCTACAGGCTTAATAATTAAGTTTGCATATAAATGTGAATAAAATTTATTTTAATTCGAGTTCTGTTTACATATTAAACTGCCAGACAAAACAGAAAAAACTACTTTAAAAGAAAATTGCTTACCTGATCTTGGCCATATACGATTAGAGGTCCACGTCGCTGAATGCGTCGGCGATTACGCATTTTACCTTTACCAGCACGAAAACGTTGCGATTTATACACCTAGTAAAAAATAAATGAAATATAATTTAATAAAATAATTTTGTTAGAAATTTAGAAAAACCTATATATTTAAATCACATGGATTTGATTAATTGCCTCTTTTATAATAAGAATTTTTTTTAAGGACCTATTCTGTAAAGCCCGATCTACATAAGATGCAGACCGCGAGTCGTAAGTCGCAAGCTTGTTGCGTCAGCCAATCCGATGCGTCATTAAAAGTGACACTTTGAGATTGGCTGATGCAACAAGCTTGTGACCTGCGACTCGTGTTCTGTGTACTATGTAGATCGGGCTTAACTTTTAACGACTGTAAACGTTACAATTATACGTTCAGAGTTACAGAATAGGCCCCTTAATCTTTTAAAAAACGAAACTAACCAATAGGGAATAAACGTCATAACGGTCGAAGCTGCTTTAAAGAGCTGTGTGCTTTAAGATCTTTAATGCTTTAAATAATTCTATGTGAATTTGTATATATATATATATACACTATATATAAATATATGTACACACATTTATATTGTATATACACTACTCAACAAAAAATAGGGAACACTTTCGAACACGCTCAAAATTGCACAATCTTCGAATGACCGTAACTCGGTGAAAAATCATCGTAGACAAAAAAACAAAAAGCATTTTAAAGCTTGAAATCTCTACTTTCGGAATCGATAATTGATATTTAGATCTGATTGATTTTTTGGGGAGTTATACGGATATAAACGGATATCCGTCAAATCTGAAAATTTTGTACAAATTTTGTACAAACTTTACAAAGGTCTATGGAGTAAACTAAAAATCTTACGCAAATGCTGTAAACTGCATTTGTGTGCGATTTTTAGTTCACGCCATGAAACTTTGTAAATTTCGCACAAAATTTTTAGATTTGACGGATATCCATTTATATCCGTATAATTCCCCAAAAAGTCAGTCATATCGAAATATCAATTACCGATTTCAAATGTAGAGATTTCAAGCTTTAAAATGCTTTATTTTTTTATTTACGATGATTTTTCACCGAGTTACGGTCATTCGAAGATTGTGCAGTTTTGAGCGTGTTCGAAAGTGTTCCCTATTTTTTGTTGAGTAGTGTATGTACATATATATTATATTTATAGTCATTTGAACTGCGCGCCGAAATTTTTTGGGATTTTTAAAACGCAGCAGAACTAGTAATATCACAATTAAATTTGATGCTCAATAGATATCTATTAAAAAGATCTTGATATGTTGAAAATCTCTGTAAATAAATTTATCTATTGTGAAAAATATTACCTCGGCTGGATCTCTAGCATTCCGTGGAAGTGTCCTAAGCCTTTTTTTAAATAAGTTCAAAACTTATAAAAAGTACAAGGAAAATGTTTGATGATTCATACCCCTTGCTAGTGAGCGCAAAACAACTAGTAAAGAACGCCTGAATACCATATTTCTCTAGCACCTATTAGGAGCATCTAAGCTTAATTTTGTTTAGCAAAGATGCGGACATTTATTGGTGCACATGGACACGACATAAGGCAACACAGAAGAATCTTTAAGATTAAAAGAAATTAAAACCTTTTGGATATCATTCCAAGCCTTGATACGTCTCAAAAAGATGACAGCCTGCTTAGTTTTTGTGTATTCTTGAATCTTATCAGAAACCACGAGCGGGAATTCCGGAACCTCCTGGATCAAGTGTCCTATGTACAAGTATGAAAATACAAAGTATATCACAGTCTGTCTATTTTATTCAGACATACTTAAATTACTTTTAAATATACCATAACATGATACAATTATAACTTTCTGTAATTCGCTCAAGTAAAAAAAAAAAAACAAAATATTTCTATATTCGATATAAAAATATTGCAATACTAAAATATCTCTCGGAAAAAAAATAAAATTTCATAAACATTTCGTTTCCTTTAATAAAAAATATCTACATAAAAG